AGTACTTATTGAAGATGATCATGGATAAGTCCAAAACGGGTGATCTGAGACCCATGTTATCATACATCATTGAAATCATCATTATGAGCTCTATCCAAGGATGAAATAAAATACAGGGTGTTCCATTTGGAAATTCGTATGATTGGTATGTCACAGGTATATGGATCATTCCGTATAGTTGAAACCATCTAAAAAAGAGATCATATGAACAACTTCGATTCTGAATTGTTTTGGTGTATATTCTGGTTTACCATATAAGAGGGTGGCCCATGCGTTATGTGAGATACCATGTACCTATAACCTATACTCAGTTTTGATCTCAAGTTTGAAGAGGTATATTGTTAACAACAAACAAAAGGCTCAGACATAATAAAGAAATCCGTTTATTTTGTAAAAATAAAAACAGCTCTCCGACAATCTAGGAAAAATTCTGATATTTGATATACGTAGTCAAATCTGTTATAACAACAATAATCAGTCAAACATTTTTTCACGCTTATTGATGAAAAATAATACATTTTCATCAATTGCCCCCGTTTTATTTGATTTATATTTCTCTCATCATGGTACCATAAACAGTATCTTCTGAAGATTCCTAAATGCCATAAATTGAATAATATTGTGAAATTTCACAAAAATATCCACAATCACAATAACAACCTGGAAATGTTCTCACATCAATGAAATAAAACCAATAATTCAACAATAAGTAATCAATTCGGTTGTTCTTTAGATCATTACATAGACAATATTTCCTGGACAATTACTCTTCATAGGTAAACAGATATTTTAAAAAAATGTACATTTTAATGAGTCAATCGCCTTACCAATACTGATTCTGTTTTTGATAAATATACTTCCTTCAAGAATTTGCATAGTATTCATATCCTTGAATAATAGTATATTGACCATGGGCGCCGCTACTTGAGGGCAAGGGGGGGCGGCCGCCCCCCCCTGGATTTTAGCTTTTTCAGTCAAGACGCGATAAACTTAAATAGCAGAAATATCAAATATCAGCTGAGATCATCCCAAATGTAAGTTCATTAGTCGTTCGGTGAACTTCGCATTTGCACAATTTCTTCAAACCACACTGGTAGTGAAAATGAGTCAAAAGGGTTTCGATCCTACCTATTACTTATATCTAGTATAGTACAATTAATTCTTTAAATTTGAAAAAACCGCCCCCCCCTGGAATTTTTACTAGCGGCGCCCATGATATTAACCAATGTTGACTATCAGGCGTTCCTTCTAAGTATCGATTAGAATAATTTCAGTACTTCAACAATAATTTGTCATGAAAAACAGATAAATAAGACAAGATTCTGGCAAGACATTATTTTTTCAGTAGGTTCATAGTAGACAGAGGGTTCCAAAAAGAACAATTATTTAGGACAATAATAAATAAAAACAACAAAATTCACATTATCACTAACAACGCAGAAAAAATATTTACAAATTATCTACAAGAATCAGGAAAAAGACATTATAGGGATAATTCATTCACATTACCCGTCATGGTTAAAGTTGATAATCCCATTTTATTGTGTTTAACCGTGACGTAATTTCCGTTTGGGTACACCTCCCCTACCTGCCCTATGGTTTAATAACTCCATAGTTGGTAAAGGTGCTTAAAGTCAAACTTGAATATTTGTTCACAAATGATGATTGTGAAAAATGGAGGATAGAATGGGATGCGAAATACTCAAACGGGGTTTAACGGAGAATGTGAATGAAATATCCCTTATATGGAGACAACAGAACATAACCCCGAAAGTTTTAAGCTCTGTCAACAAAGATGCTCAGTGATGAAACATAATTATCAGTGGCGGCTCCTCAGAGGAGGCAACGGAGGCTGAGCCTCCTCAGAGATTTTCCTTAAACTAATATTATCTGAACTTTCTCATTGAAAGGACACCAAAATACATGTATTTTGATTTTATTTCCTGTTTTTACTTAAATATTTTTGAATTGGCAACAGTGTTTGCCCACGCATCACACGTTGAAGTCTGCAAATCATGCGTAAAATATTCAACTTGGCAACATCTATAGGAGGCTAGACTCCGTCACAATGCGCAACCTACGCGCGCAATGCAATTGCCCGAATACGCCCGAATAGCAAGTGTTTGTCGTGTCGCTTCGCGAATTGCGGACAAACGCGAGTGCATTGTTTATGTTTATGTTAGGTTAATGGTTAGGGGCTCTATAAATTTCTGAAAAATGAGTGTTTCAAACGATTGCGATTTAGTGGAATACTTTTTGGTGAACCCATTCAGTGCTTTGTCTTTGAAGATAAATTGATTGTGAAAAACAAACGTCCGACACCGGAATTAAAAAATCTGATTGTAACAGGTAACAAACAAAATCGTTCGTTCAATTTTGATAATTATATAAAATATATCTGGGTGACGGGATCTGAGGTAAGGTATAAGCTATTTTTTTGGTACTGCGTATTATTTTCAACCGATAAGTCATCATGTTGGGGGCGATTAGGATATAATGATTTGAAAAATTTGCCTCGCAGATTGGATAGACACTGCAAATCACAGGAACACATCTCTTCAAGTATTAAGTTCAGGTTAACTGGTAAATAGAATATCATTAAAGCTATTGATTTGGGTGAGTAGAGAGTTGTTTTTCACATTAAATCTCATATCATTCAGCCTCCTCTGTCATGAAAGTCACGAGCCGCCACTGATAATTATGGGTACTTTCTGAAGGTATCATAAAGTGTGTCAAATTGGGGATCATATTAGTATGAAATCGTGATGATTTCCAACTGCAATTCGCAATTTTCAGAAAATAGCTAATGCCATTTTATTTTCGTATAAACACAATTATCACCTGCTCGAAAACGGTTGGATATAGGGAATTGGAAAATTTCCTTTTCAGAATTTTTTTGTTATAAAATAGTTTTGGCTCCTCCATTCTGATGATGTAGGTACCTATCAGGGCATATGCTCCAGTAGTCCCTGTACTTACTAAAAGAATCATGTTTACATAGGGCAGGTTTTGGTGAAAATTATTAGTCACTAATTCAAAAATATCACTCGGTGTTGAAACTATACTGATTAATCCCCTTAATTGAAGAATGAACGAACCTACATATCACAATAGCATTAATAATGAACGAAATTAGCGACACTGATAGTTTACTATCAGAAAAAATGTAATACTATGAAATTCTGCATAAATAGATCCCTTACTAATTCAAAAAAAAAATTTTTTCATAAAAGTTATAGGTTAAAGGTTATCAAGCTAGGCTTTACCAACCAATTTTAAAATTATGCTTAATGTGTTTTGAAGCAAATATTTTAGATAGTAGAGATGCATCACTTACTCATTTATGTTGAAAACAAGTCCGAAGGAAAATTCCCTATTATCAATGGAAAATACTCAAAATTGACTGCAGATTCAGAAAAACCAAACGTATATACAGAGTATTTGATTTGAAATAATCGTATTATCGATCTTATCGATGAATCGATATAATCGATATTATCGACATTGATATCGATATATATATTTATTATCGATAAATCTATATTATCGATCCACCCATAATTTTTTATCTGAATTTGTATCGGTATATCGATAAATTTGCCCACCCCTAGTCAATACATGTGTATTTTTTCATGATGAATATTTCATAACATATTTTTACCATTTCTGCGATGCAAGCATGTTTTTCCATTGTATATTGCAGGGAGATGTGTGAAATCAATTATACACTTTTTCGGGTATGCGATAGTGGAATTTTTAGCCATCAAACATAAAAGGCGGCATCAAAGTTTTGGTATCTGCACGTTGGGTGATCTGTGGTACTACTGGCAACGTTGCACTTCTCAAAATATTTTAGGAAGGTACATCACCTTTAGTTATACTTACGTACATCACCAGAATTTAGGAAAAACTGAGGTGCCAGTGGTTAGATCTTTGCCAGCTATATATTTTAACATTGACAAAATTGAAATAACTTTGAAACAATACTCAATAACACAGAAGCCAACTAGGAATGACAAAGTGTGGATTTATCTAGCATCAATTTACAATTATCAATTAACCATTATCAAGTAAGGAGTAGCTAAAATGTTACCATTTATGCAAACCAAATCAACAATTGAAAATAAAAAATACCCAGGCGCAAAAGTCCTCTTCAAGCCATTCAAGATAGCCATAGAATATTATTTCATAATATTTTGGACACATTTTTGGGATATTGCTATCACAAGTGGGGCCAAGCCAAGACTTAATAATAATAGGAATAATAGAAAGTAAATAGAAAAAAGAAACACAAAACCGGGAAATATTTTAGTTTCCATCATAGGATGGACTAATCCTCGATCATCTACAAGGTCATCTGTGTACTAGTTGCGTACAATAAGAAAACCAGGTTCAATCAATGTATAAAAGTTAAAAGTTGACCAACCTTCTACTTGTTATTCAATAAATGATAATTGTAAATTGTCTGCATAATCACAGTGATTGAAAATAGCAAGTTCAACTGATAATTGTGAATTGATAATTGTTATTTAATAATTGTTAGTTGATGCTGTATAAATCCACACTAAGTCACAAATGACACAAATCGTGAATGTTTGTGAACAATCATTTATTCAGATCGGTTTTCTGCTATCATTATTGTTTCATAAACATTCACGTCATAACGGGTGTTCAAAAATGATTGAAAACCACGTGACAGAGCACTTCATGCAACCAAGAATACATTCGTATTTTTTTAACGTGGGTGGAAGAGATACCGCATACAAAAAAGGTCACCGGGCACTCAATCATTGTTGAAGACCCGTATTATCTAGCACCGATTTCACCAAATATCAAATCATGTATTTGATATAGTATTAAATAAGTAGGATTTCACTCCGAATTCAGAATACTGTTCTTTACAGCAATAATCAGAAGGAGGGGTCTCAAGGATTATGTCACATATTTTTCAGGGTTATGTAACGTGAAATTTAGGTGAATATAATCATCCCAATCCGGAATTACCACCCAAAAGTAACATTGACAGTTTTTAGAGACATGGGTTCTATATAAATATCACCTAGTATTTGCAAACTATCAATAGTGTCCAAGCCAGTCAATGATTTCAATTCCAAATTTTTAACACTCAAAAACTCAAAATTCAAGTCTTTCTCGAACTTACATACATCACAAGATAAATTACTACTAACAGCACAGTCATACCCTTCCCTATGAATCACCATCAATGCACTGGATGCAGGAAACTGTGAATAAATCGGGTCAGGTTGGGTGCGCAGTGTCAACAAATGAACATCACAAGGTAAGGCTTTGTTGAAAAATTTGAAGGAATGATTCACACCTACTTGATGTTCAGGATCGACAATGAATATTCCTGCTGGGTGATTCAGCAAGCCCGACATCCGATTCGCATAGAGAGATGGCCGAGAGAACCCTTCTTGCTTTCCACCATCTGACGGTTCAGTTGGTACGTTGAACGATCTCACTACATCCCCCTTGTCAAACGTGTCATCTGTATTGTCGAATCTGTTACCTTGAGGATTACTGGCGGATGCAATTTGAGATATATCCTCGATGAGTAACCAATATCGACTAACAGTCTTCCTGTTGTCCACGAGTCCCTCGCCCATTCCTCTAGAATCATCGTACAATGTTCTTCTATCTAGCATTACTTCCAGGAAACCTGGCTGCCAAGCGGAAGCACCTTGAGCATGGTTTGTCAATAAACTTAATCGAACGTTATTGTCTTGTATATAGGCCATGGTGGTTATTGGAAAGTAATTTCCTTCTAAACCTATTCGTTCTACTTTAATTCGTTTTTGCATGTTGAAGCCATTGAGATCAGAGAAGAATTCAGGAGGTTCACCATTTTGTACATCTGATATGATCCTCATGAAGAGTTCAGTTTCTCTGTTCTTGGGAGGATTCTCGAAATCGACTATGTTTTCAATGGAAATTCCATTAGACAAACTCGTGTTTTCAGTCAAGTATATGGAAACAGTATGCTTTAAAAATGGGCCATAAATGACGGTAATCTCTGTGGATATAGGACCCGCTGTGATCATGATAGTTTTTTGATCTTGATATTGTTGTAATACATCTTTTTCATAGTCTCTTTCGTTGGGGTCGGGCATGAATAAATAAGCACCAGAGTGAAACTGAGCACTTCTGTAAGCAGCAAACTGTATTCCACATTGCATGATTTTCGGGTTGTGTTTTCTAGTAACCGATTTCATGAAACCTGTGTTTCCATTGAAAAGTAACTTGAATTTATTATTTTCTAATTGTATATCTCCCGGAGGTATATCTTTGATAACAAAATTAGACTTAAGAACTTCTGCATTGACGTCATTTCCACTATTCAAAATAGTTGTTTGTTTCTGACACTTCTTACAATAGACTGTTGCAAAACGTTCGCTACTGGTAACTGTATAAACCAAGTTGAAAATAGTTACTGATAACTCGGGTAACTTAGCGATGAAAACAATTTCAAATTCATCTGCTGTTATCCATAATTTAGTAATATCCGACATATCCCACACAGGGTTGATCTGATACGTGATATCATTTCCTTCATTATCTGTCACTTTTATGTTGCTGGTGTTGACCCTTAGTTGTATCACATGTTCCTGAGTCCTTGATAACGAATTGTAGACCAAAATTTTTCTTGTTTGATTAGTCCCAATTGGTCCAACTTGAATTGGTGTTTTTTTCGGTATTTTTTCATAAGATTCTCTCTCTAAATCACTAAGCACCATACTTTGATCTGATTTCAGCGGAATGTTGGGAAAAAATAAGCTCTGTAGCGCGTTTTGTTGAATGTTCATTGTGTCTCTGATTCCCTCGAATAATTTGAGTCCATAATCGCGCATTACAAATGATTTGCTTGTTCCAGTTATAGCGTCATGATGCTGAAACAACCCTGGAAATGGAATATTACTGATTATTTACTTCGTATGATTTCAAACCAATCAGAACGTTCAATTGAGTTAGGCTACTTTTTATAATTTCGAATATATGTGGAGTAACTCCGCCAATCAGAAATTTAGAATTATTTCCATAGTAACCAATTCATATTGTTAAGTACATACAAACAAAGCGCGTCGTAATATGTTGACGTTTGTTCAGAACTACTCAAAAAATAATCGCATCAAATACAATTCGAACTTCAAACTATTCATGGTTATACATCTCAAACTTCCTGCATAATTACAAATCGCGGTCGGATTATTTCAACTGTCAAACTGACACACTTTGTCATTATGTATGAGTATTTTGAAGTGGTCATAGTATTACTACTGAATTTAAAACACTCTTTCAACTCAGAAGATTCATTATAAGTTGTAGATAATAAAGACTAATAACATTTTCATGATTACCAGTTAGCGTCACTATAGAGCATAAGGTACCTCCTATCTATCCAAGTCAGAATTTCCGAAATTTGTGAAACATCGAAGCCTGTCAGCCCCATTAAAACTGAATGTACCTCTCTAGAATACAGGGTTTTTCGATATTCGACCGACAACGCTTGAAAGGTGATAGCCCTCGTGATTTCATAATCACTGAGATAGGGACATACGGTCTTCAAGTGTTCAGTTCTCGAGATACAGGGCGTTGAAGTTGAGAAATTTAAATAGGTTTTCCGCAATATCTCAAGAAACATTTAATATAATGCATTCAAATTCGGTATATGGTTTCATCTTTCAATGGTTGATTTTTTGACCAGAAAGACATTCAGAGAATATTACCCAGAGGTGCGCTTCAGAGGATTGTGATAACTTTTCCTCCCATATTTTCTACGCCACTGATGAAATTTCGATTATTTCCAATTTCTCGAATTGATTGTTCAATTATGTTGAAAAGCTGCATCATCTTCAACTGGGCTAAAATGAACAGTTATCGAGATATTTGGCCCAAAATAGAAGTTTGCATAGTAATTTTTTATCTTCTTCAGTAGTAGAAGATTACAACAATTTTTTGTTTTCTCTTTATGCGTGGAATAACTGCTTCTGTTCAGCTACAGAATGAGATCTGAATAGTATCTAATCTACTCAAAACCAGAAAAATATTTTTGCAATTTTCGACTACTGATGATGATGAAATATTACTATGCAATCTTCTATTTTGGGTGGAATATCTCGAAAACTGTTCATTTCAGCTCAGTTGAAGGTGATGCATTTTCTGAAAAAAATTGAACAATGAATTCGAGGAATTGGAAATAATCGAAATTTAATCAGTGGCGTAGAAAATATGGGAGGAAAAGTTGCCACAATCCCCTGTAGGGCATCACTGGATAAAATGTTCGGAATGGGTCATTCAAAGATGAAATCATATACCAAAGTTGAATGCATTATAGTCAAAGATATATCGGAGCCATTTATAACCCACCATCAAGTGACAACAAACATTTTTTGGACTTTCTGGATGAGGAACTGGCGAATCTAAGGAATAAAGAAGTGATCATCATGGGTGACATCAATATAAATATAATTGACAATTCAAGAATAGTATCCAATTACAAAGATGTCTGTGTGACAAATGGGTTTCAAATAGTCAATGAAACTATTCCCACAAGAACCACTGGCTATTCACAAACACTTATTGACCATTCATTAATTAGTTCAAAAGTCACTGCATCTATAGAACTAGCAATAATAAGCAACAGTATTAGTGATCATGAACTACAAATTCTGAAAATAAATACTGAGATCTCCAAACAACAACCTGAAAAGTTCTACAGGAAAAAAAAAATTGATCTGGAGAGATTAAAGCAAGATCTCTTAGAGGTTGATAGAAATTACCTGGACACCCTTGACATAGATGTAAACTATGGAAAAATAGCTAATTGTTTTGAAAAAAACACTTCTTATCAAAGATGTAAAAATAAATTCAGGAAAGACTCCAAGCCCTGGTTCACCTCGAAAGTGCTACAAGCGATAAAACATCAAGAGTATCTATACGAAAAGAAAAAAAGATTTCCAAGTAATGAATATTTCTTCGACCAACACAAAATCGCTCAAAAATCTGTAAAAACTGAAGTCAAAGCTGCGAAGAAGAAATATTATGAAGAAAAATTCAATAGAACTAATGGGGATCAAAAAAAAACATGGAAAATCATAAACAACATCATTAGAAACGAGTCAACAACCTATACAAACCATATTTCTTCTATAAAAACAGATAACAATGATACCATCACAAGTCCGGAAGAAGTCTGCAACTATATGAACAACTATTTTGTTGGAATTGGGGAAAAACTGGCCGCAAACATCACATCCCAAAATATAGACCCTGCCAAGGAAACAACTTGTGATGCCAGATTCTCATTCACCCCGGTAACACAGGAGGATATAGGTAAAATTATAGATGACCTGGATACATCTAAGGCACCAGGATGGGATCAGATTGAAGCAAAGACTGTGAAAGAGTGTAAACTTGAACTACAAAGTGTTTTGTATAAACTTATAAACCAGTCCTTATCATGTGGTAAAGTACCAGAAGTCTTCAAACTAGCGAAAGTGTCACCTATGTATAAGTCCGGTGATAAGGAAGACCCAAATAACTATCGCCCTTTATCAGTGCTTCCAATACTATCGAAAATAATTGAGAAAATCGTGAACAAGCAACTGCTGGAATATCTTGAAGAAAATAGTATATTGACCAAATCACAGTATGGCTTTCGCAAGTCAAGTGACACCACCAGCGCTGCTGTTGATCTGATATCTGAAGTACAAATGAAAATTGATAAAAACAAAAAGTGTGCTCTTGTTTCACTTGACTTGTGTAAAGCCTTTGACACAGTCAACCATGATATCTTACTGGAAAAAATGAGAATGATCGGTGTTCAGGGGAAGTATGTCACATGGTTTCGTGACTACCTATCAAATAGAAAGCAATTCATCCAATACGGTTCATATTCTAGTGAAAAGAAGAAAATTACCTGTGGTGTACCACAGGGATCGATTTTAGGTCCCACCCTTTTCCTCATTTACATCAACTCTTTAACGAACATAACTATTAGAGGGGAAGTCCGACTGTATGCAGATGATACAACAATTGTATACTTTGGAGAAACATGTGATGTCATCTCTCAGAACATCGAACAAGACCTCCAGTGCTTGACCAAATGGTTATCTTGCCATAAGTTGACCCTCAATTTGAATAAATCTTCTTTCATGTGGATTGATAAATGTAAGGTGCCTGATTACACCAAAAAAGAAATATCATTTGGAAATAGTACTATGAAATACTCTAGTAAAATTAAATTTCTTGGCCTGATCATTGATGAAAAGCTTTCATGGCATGAGCACATTGAATATGTACGCAAAAAAATTATAGGACCAGTAGGTGTTCTTCGGAGATTAAGTTATACTGTGCCAGAATATCTATTGAGGTCAGTTTACTTCTCCCTAGTTCATTCCCATCTGGAATACCTAATCATCATATGGAGCTCAACTTTTGAGAGTTATATAACACCACTGAAAACACTACAGAACAAAGCCATCAAAAACCTGTATCAATTACCAATGAGATCTACAACATCAAATCTGTTCGGCAAATACAATATTAGATCCCTGGATAGCCTCTATGTGGTGAAAGTTAATGAATTTATTCATCAAGCACTGAATCAGGTGAGACACACTCAAATGGAGTTCCCTATGAGATATGAAATTCATCCATATGAAACTAGACAATGCAAAGATATATCTTTACCACGAATATGCTCACGTCATGGCCTGAATTCACTGTTATATAAAGGAGCAGCAGAATATAACAAACTCCCCTCCAACATAAAAAAATTGAATGTAAACAAATTTAAAATTGTCATGAAGAGACACGTTCCCTTGTATACCCATTGAAAGCACTATTTCATTACATCAGTCATTAACCTACTACTGTGATATATCTAACCAAATATTTTATTATCTCAACTATTTCACTGTGATACATCTTAACTTGTTTATTGTGTTATTCTACCGTAATTTTTATATTTAGAATTTAACTTTATACATTTCTTATATGTTTACCTGTAGATATAGTGATTGAAGGGCAGAACTGTGTGATATCAAATTATTTTTGTACTTATTATTAGAGGTATCCCTATGTAACACTCTGTGTATTTTGGGATGAAATAAACGCTTAAAAAAAAAAAAAAAATTATTCTTGAGATATTGCGAAACAAGTATATTTATCACCTGTCTAGCGTTGTGGGTCGAATTTCGCAACACCCTGTATAGAGCACCACTGAATAAAATGTCCGGAATGGCTTCCTGGTCAAAGAACGACCCATTCAAAGATGAAACCATATACCGAAGTTGAATGCATTATATGCAAGCGTTGTCGGTCGAATTTAGTAATAACCGAAATTTAAACCAACTACGTGAAGTGGGATTCTTATTTCAGTACGCCCGAGTAAATTAAATGAAAATGCCGGGCGTGAATGAAAGCGTCGGGCGTGAACTCGTCTCTTATATTATAGTTTGATTGAAATTGGCATGTTTCAAGTGATCCTGACTATCCGTCGTTGGTTTATGTGGAATCTAGAGTGCATCTAGATCGAAAAAAAAAAAATGAATGCAAGGGTAGTAACACACTTCCGATACATATTGAGCAGTAAAGAATTTCCAGCAAAAGTATATATTTTTTTAAATTATTATTCTTGGAAATCTGAAATTGTTTTGTACTGATGAATTTTTGAATGATATATATTTTTTTCAATACTTTTGGTATATTTAATAATTGCTATTGAACCTCAAGTCTCCAGTCCAATTTCATAAAAAAAAGGGTTAACTGAGGGACCACTGGAGATTGATCCACTACTTGAGACTTCAAGGGGATCATGAGATTTGGAAGTTTAAAGACAGAAAATCATCAATTTACTCTACCATCTGAGGCGATCTTACAGTGGAGTGAAGACAATAGGGCAACAGGACAAAATTCATACAGTCTACTCCATCAAAACTATAATATATTGTAAACAAACTTACGGGGACATGTTTCGAAGCTTTATTAAAGCTTCATCATCAGCGTTTTTTGTTACATAGGAGCACTAAAGTGAGAAAAAAACAAAGAAAAATGTCAGGCAAGCCCCTCAACAACGATTGGTCTAAAATCACTCACCTGTTCTGGAGGAAAAAAGTTATGTTCACATATTTAGATTATTGAAAAATGTTTCAGAAAAAGAAAATAACGCTAAATGGGGGCCGCAATTATTGCATGTCAGAGTCATGCCATTCGTTTGATGTTTGATTTTTGACATTTCATTCTTCTTGTCTTTTTAAGAGTGCGGCATGAAAAGCAGATAAGCGTTCTTTCAATTTTGATCTGAATCGTACTACTATAATTATGGAATTCAAAGTTCACTAACAGAGGGGTTCCGCAATAATGGCGGCCTCCATTCAGCCTCATTATCTTTTTGTAAAACATTTTTCAATAATCTAAATATGCGAACATAACTTTTTTCCTCCAGAACAGGTGTTTTTTTAGACCTATCGTTGTTGAAGGGTTCGTCTGACATTGTTCTTTGTTTCTCTCTGACTTTAGTGCTCCTATGTAACAAAAAACGCTGATGATGAAGCTTTAAAGCTTCGAAACATGTCCCCGTAAGTTTGCTTACAATATAGTATACTTTTGGTGGAGTAGACTGTATGAATTTTGTCCTGTCCTATCAATTTACTCTCTTTTGAAAAAATGTATATTACCTAGATTCCTCCTAGCATTTATGAGCTTCTCGAAATCCCTCTCTAATATCTTCGAGTAAGACGAGAACTTGTTCTGCTTAGCATTATTCACAGCAATGGTATACAGTATCTCTGCTCCACGCAAACTATCCTCCAGTTCCCGGTCCAAAATTTTCATGAAAGGCCTAGTGGTGTAGTATCCAGACCAATAGGCAGGGCGGCCTTCGGAAAATATGTCCGAATAAACGAAAAAGTCGCCCTTCAGTGTAGGAAACTGATTATAACGATTCATTATCTCTTGGAAGTACATCGAAGGTGTTCCGAAACTTATTTCGGTTTTATACTGGTCTCTATGAGCATTGATGTATTCTATGAGTTTGATATAGTTTGTATACTGTTGGTCCCATTCTTCCTTCACGTTATACCGGAAATCATCTCCCAGCGGCATCAATACCACGTTGTGTGGAAAAAGAGATCCAGTGCGGGCGTACTGTTCCAGCAGCAGCTCCGCTTTTTCCTTCACGTTCTTCTCTGTGATGGCCTGCGCTTTGAGGGAGTATTCCGTGTACTCTCCTTGAACTTTGCGGAAATCGAAGTTCAAACAAATGTACGGATGTGGCCCGCAACTGTGTTTGATGGAATAGATGTCGAAGGGCTGATTGTGGGTGAGTAAAGACCCATAAGAGTCGGCGGTACTCCAACTGGGTATCCAACGGAAATCTCCATATTGTTTGAGAGCGAGCCATTGTTTCCAAGCGTAGTGTATCCTTTGTATTACAGTTCCTTTGATACCCGAAGCTGATAGAAGATAAGGTACAGTACTACCGTGCCCGAATGGATCTACCGACCAACCAGATGATGGTTTTATGCCCAGATTCGTCCATATCCATTGATGACCTGTGAATAATAGAATCAATATTGAATATAACAAAGATTTCGGGAGGATGTAATTCAATGTTCTGCGTGGCATTAGCCAGGAAAGTAGTTGTTTTTCTCCCGAAATCTACCATTGTTGTTCATTTTATGAACATTGTGTGGAAGACTTTGAGATTTTTGTATTTATTGAAGGAAAATAGTCGGGTTTAGGCCATCATTACGGAAAGAGCGGGGGGACTGGACCACTATACTTATTTAGATTAGTCTGCTTGGTTGCATACCTTTCAGGTGTACCTTACACCCTATATCTCTGTAATCATTCCTGCTAGACCCCAAGTGTGATACATTGATGTAATCAGCTCTTCAGGAAGAACCAAAAAATGCAATGAAATACAGGGTGTTCTATTTGAAATATCAAAATTGCTATTACTTTCTGGTATCTTTCTGGTATCAGCAGCAACGCTGCATTGCTTAAAATATTTAAGATCGATAGACCAAAAGCAGAGCAGGGCAGAGCAACTAACAGAGTACCAAATCAAATTTTCAGAATGATCGTATGTCCCGTTCTCCGTTAACGTCTAAGGTACCATCGACCGTGACCCAACCTGTATATTACATTGGCAATTTCACATCTTTCAAATGCTTATAGAACATAGTTCCAAGCAATATACAATATTTGAATATGAGTATATGGATGAATTTTGAATTGACTCGGCGGTTACTTGATGGAAATCCATGGCATACAATGTACCAGTATATTACCTGACGAAGCTACTATGTTAGCGAAACATGTTGTGTGTTTAAATATCTTGTGGAAATCTTATCGTTTGTGAAGTTTTTACTTTATATGGATGAAATTATAATTTTCAATTTGTGGTTCACGAATTAGTACTCATCAATTATGTTCATGTTTGACAAACGTATTTATTCAGTTGTTCAACTTGACCTAAGTACAGTTTGAATTTTTTAACATATCGATTCCAGTTTCGTAAGTGATTATATCATTTTAACGGTATAACTTGCTTTTGATCATTTTTATAGACTATAGGGTGATCTCTGAGGTAATCTTTATAAATAGGAACGTACATAATTATTTGCAACCACATATCTACTGATAATAGGACACAAATATAATTTTTCAATACAGGAATACATCGTAAATCAACATGCTTCGTGAAATTTTTTGTGAAACAATATGCAGAAACAGCTAATCGAAAAATACAACCAAACATCAATCCGAGTTTATTGACAGCACCCCATAATAAGTTCCATAAAGAGGAAAAATGTGGTTTAGAGAAAATGAAAAATGAAGTCCTATTGAACAAACTCTTCTTCCTTCTTTTTCTTTATTTCATTCTCATTTAATTGTTTTGATCATTTATATACAATGCAAATACAGTGTGTCCCACTTACCATGCTCACCATGGGTATCTTTTAAACGGTGAGAGATACGAGGTCGGTTAAATGACACCAAATGTGGAGTTTGTCAAGGCCAACTATAATGTGAAAAAATATTTTGATAAAATCTATTCGTTTTTGTTTTATACGCAAAAAACAGATTTTGATCATTTTCATGTCTCCTCCGTAACTTCTTTATTTATGAAAATATTCAAATAGGAATTCAACATTCTCATGGCAGTTTTTCAAAGTGATTTCGAAAAAAATATGAAATTCATACCAACTCTTCTAGAATTTGAGATATCAGCACCAACTTTAGTTTTTCAAATGTAGGTCATAGCTCACTATGACTTAGTTACAAATAACTTTTTTTTCTCTTACAGATGATATGTCGCAGTAATAGTTTTATGTTGACAACAACGGAGCTATCGTCATTAATACAAAAACAAAAAATTGTTTGGAAGCCGCCATCTTGAATTTATAAATTTTAACAAAAAAATCATGATCTGTGGCCTCAAAAACCCCTACTCACCAATTTTGAAGGGAATCTGACCAAATCTTGTCCGCCATCTTGGAGCAGCCATTTTCTTTTATTTCAACAAAAATTCCATAATGTATTGTCACCGAAATTATGAACACCTGCCAAATTTCAAGTTGATCGGAGCAATGAAATTTTTGTTGAAATAAAAAAAATGGCTGCTCCAAGATGGCGGACAAGATTTGGTCCGATTCCATTCGAAATTGGTAAGTGGGGGTTTTTGAGGTCGCAGTCATGATTTTTTGTTAAAATTTATAAATTCAAGATGGCGGCTTCCAAAGAATTTTTTGTTTTTGTATAAATGACGATAACTCCGTTGTTATCAACACAAAACTATTACTGCGACATATCATCTGTGTGAGAAAAAAAGTTATTCCTAACTAAGTCATAGTGAGCTATGACCTACATTTGAAAAACTGAAGTTGGTGCTGATATCTCAAATTCTAGAAGAGTTGGTATGAATTTCATATTTTTTTCGAAATCACTTCGAAAAACTGCCATGAGAATGTGAAATTTCTATTTGAATATTTTCATAAATAAAGAAGTTACGGAGGAGACATGAAAATGATCAAAATCTGTTTTTTGCGTATAAAAGAAAAACGAATAGATTTCATCAAAATATTTTTTCACATTATAGTTGGCCTTGACAAACTCCACAGGATCGTATTGAGACTGAACCACGTTTTCTGAAAACACTCTCAAAGTTGAAAGGCCTGATAAAAAGATACCCATGGTGAGCATGGTAAGTGGGACACACTGTATAATAAATAACCTATGGGTGACCCAGAACCAATTTATCCCCCTATGTTTCAGATCGCTCACTTGGTATATTTTCATAATTTATTTAGAAAGATACCTCTTCTTGTGTGTTGTCATAACTATGATATTTTTTGACTTGTTTCAATAATCAATAAAACATTATGTCAGAATAATGTCTATCTTTGTAATGAAAACCTTTATGAAGAATAAAGATATTTGCTGAACCCCGCAGCTGGTCCTTCTCTATCGTTCAAAGACATTTGGTCCTTCGAGCCGGATCGTAACCGTTAGTCTTTGCGACCTGGATATTGGTAATAAGTCATCACGCTGAGAAATTGAAGCAAGTAGGAGAAGATACGAAGCTTTTTTCTACTTACAAGCCCTTTTGAAAATAATATCACTCTAATAAGATCAACAAGATCTTCCGTCTCAAGTAAGCCCTTCGATAGAATAAATCTACCTCACCCGCTAGAATTTACGCCCTGAGCACGCTAAACGCAGAAGCATTTTTTGGAATATGAAGCAGTAACGGCAAGTTTTGTTGTGTTTATACCTTCATTCTGCAGATATCAAGCAATCCAGAAGCAGAATTGGAGTTGGAATTCCTCATAATTCATATAATATAATACCCTTGCACTAAATCAGTAGATCTAACGTGTGTATGTAATATTCATTTGATTTCACTCACTGAGCCACTTATTTTTTCATAACAGTAGAATGGATTTAGAATCGATGATCAAACGTAGATCTAATTTAAAAGGATGTTTAACTCGTACTGAAAATTTTATAATTGCTAACGAATATAGCACTGGTTTTGATATTAATGAGTGGTCAGTTAGAGAAAAGTATATAACTCAAACTTTTGACAGCTATTGTGAAATTCAGGATCGTATTGAAAATCAGGATGACACACAAGAACAGGATCGTATTGAGACTGAACCACGTTTTCTGAAAACACTCTCAAAGTTGAAAGGCCTGATAAATCAGTCTCATCCACTTAGTTCTCAATCGTCTGGATGTCGAGTGAATAGTCTGCAAACTCCTACATCTTCCAATACTGCGATCTCAAGTTCTCTGGTAAGATTACCCCAATTGAATATTCCCACCTTCACAGGCAATTATGAGGATTGGCATTGTTTCATAGATTTATTTAACGCCCTCATTCATAAAAATGAAAATTTGGACAATGTTCAAAAATTTTTATACTTGAAAGCTTCTCTAAAAGGTGAATCCCTTACTCTAATCAGTGAATTGAAGTTGACTAATGAAAATTATGACATTGCTCTTGACCTATTAACGAGTAGATATGATAATAAGCAAGTGATCATTAATTCACATATAAAGGCTCTTATTGATGCGAACCCTATTAAAACAACTGATTATGTGCTCCTTAGAGAATTCATAACATTGGTGAAGCAACATGTCAATGCTCTCAAAGTTTTGCAGGTTCCAGTTGATCATTGGGATTATATTCTCGTGCATATATTATATAGAAAATTAGATTTTCAAACACAACGAGCATATGAATTAGAAAAAGATCAGAATAAAGCTCCTGAATTAAAGACATTCTTGGATTTCTTAGGTGGCAGATGCCTGGCTCTGGAATCATTTTCATCAAATAATACTAATAATAATGATAATGGTCTAAATATGATCCCCAGAACAAATTCTCAATTTTCTAGAACATCATTCCCTCGTTCAACTCGGTCTCAAAATATAACATTACATTGTCTTTACTGCAAACTATCATCCCATAGCATTTATAAATGTTACAAATTCTCTAGTCTATCTGTAACCCAGAAAAGAGATTTTGTGTTGAAAAATAAGTTGTGTTTGAATTGTCTTGGAGATAAACATGTGGTATCACACTGTACATCTTCTAGGAATGGGTGTAGATTATGTCTGGAGAGACATCATACTTTATTGTGTGACAAAAAATCGAGTCTTCCTGAGACTTCTCAAACTGAATTATCTAATTCACATGCCTTGCTATCTCATCAGATTCAGGAAAGCAATCCTCGTTATTCTCCTTCAATATCTGGTAATATAGTCGAGGATGATAATGTTTGTTTGTTAGCTGGTCTGAAAGAAACTAAAATATTATTGGCTACAGCTAAGGTGTATATCTTGAACAATTTTGGAATCCAAATTGAAGCCAGAGTTTTATTAGACTCAGCCTCTCAGAATTCATTCATAACAAGAGAGTTTTTTGACAAATTGAATCTTCAACCTTATGAAATGCAAATGCAAGTGTCTGGAATAGCAAATAATACTACTAGAATTGATTATATGGTAGATGTGACACTAGTGTCTCAAATAAATGAAACTTATAGAGTTTGTATTTCTTGTGGTATAATGGATAAAATAACATGTAATCTACCACAAATCCTTATTGATAAAAGTATGATCAAAATTCCTCCGTCCATAAAGTTAGCGGATGCTGAATTCCATTCACCAGCGCAAATTGATTTGATTTTGGGCGCTGATATATATTATGAATTACTCGAATCAGGAATTATAAAAATTGGTTCCGGATTACCAATTCTACAACATACAAAATTGGGTTGGGTTGTAGGTGGTCCAATTAAAAATCAGGTTAATGAAACGAAACCAAAACGTTGCATCACTTTGTTCTCTCAGGATTCTGATGTGAATAATCTCATCCCAAAATTTTGGCAATTAGAAGAATTGCATACCAAAAAAGTTTTATCACCTGAAGATAAACTGTGTGAGAAGATTTTCATATCCACTACTAAACGTCTGGAGAATGGTAGATTCCAAGTGAATTTGCCTACTAAAAATGATGAGGACTTCTCATTACTAGGTGATTCATTGAATTTGGCTAGGAAGAGATTTTTTTGGCTGGAAAATCGATTGCATAAAAATAAAAATTTATTCACTCAGTATAAAGCTTTCATTGATGAATATATTAATCTAGGTCATGCTAGATATGTGAATTCTCATGAAAATGCTAGTTTAGTTAATTCGAAGAGATATTTTATTCCTCATCATTGCATAATTAGAGAACAGAGTACAACAACGAAACTCAGGGTCGTTTTTGATGCTTCGATGAAAACTGGATCAGGTTACTCCCTAAATGACCTTATGTTGAAAGGAAGTTCTATCCAGCCAGAGCTTTTCGACATATTATGCCGATTTAGAATGTTCAAATATGTTTTAACGACAGATATAGAAAAAATGTATAGACAAATTTTAATAAACCCACGTCAAGTGCATCTTCAGAATATTCTTTGGAGAGAAACCATTGAAGAGGACATCAAGTGTATAGAATTACTTACAGTTAGTTATGGAACAAATTGTGCTCCATTTTTAGCTACTCGTTGTTTAACAGAGTTGGCTACTACTGAACAAATGCGATTTCCTTTAGCTTCTGAGGCAATTTTGAATCAGTGCTACATGGATGATATTTTAGGTGGCCATGACACTATAGAAGGATTATTGCAACTTAAAAGTGAATTGATTTCGATGTTGAAAACTGCTGGGTTCAAACTACATAAATGGTGTTCTAATTACAACTCTGTTGTTATTCCAGAATCAAACTTGAATCAAGATAATATGTCTGTAGATTTCCAGGAGACTTGCAAAGTTCTAGGTGTTTTATGGCACCCTTCATGATTATTTCAAATTCAAAACGTCTGAGGGAACTAAAATTAAATTGACCAAACGTTACGTTCTGTTTAGAATTGCCCAAATGTTTGATCCTCTGGGCCTTATAGGTCCAGTTATACTTTTGGCGAAAATTTTCATGCAAAAAATTTGGTGTAGGAAAATTGGCTGGGACGATCAATTAAGTCCTGATTTAGGCAGATTTTGGACAGATTTCGAGAAGAAACTGATATTTTTGAGTGAACTTAGAATACCTAGATGTATACTAGATTCTCATGATTATCATACATTAGAATTGCATGGCTTTTCTGATGCATCACTGGCAGCATATGGATGTTGTATATATCTTCGTGCTATTTACCCTAATGATAAGATATCATGCCATCTATTATGCTCGAAGTCTCGAGTTGCTCCAATCAAAACAGTATCACTTCCTAAACTGGAACTTTGTGGAGCACTTCTTCTTGCCAATTTGATTCACAAAATCATGGGTGTGATATCTTCTCTAATAAAGAAAGTTTTTTTATGGACAGACTCTCAAATTGTTCTCAATTGGTTACAGAGTTCTCCCTCTAGATGGACAATATTTGTAGCAAACAGAGTATCTGAAATTCAAGAGCTTACTATAAATTGTGAATGGAATCATGTTATTTCAGCTGA